CTCCCAAGTAGAGGGGACTACAGGCGCCTGCCACAACGCTCAGCTATATTTTTGTTGCTGTTGTTGTTGTTTTAGCTGGCTCAGGCCGGGTTCGAACCTGCCAGCCCTGGTGTATGTGGCCAGCACCCTACCCACTGAGCTACCGGCACCACCAAATTATACATTTTTAACAAGACCTCAGTTGATGAAGATGCCTCTAATGATCACAGTTTGAGCAGCAAGGCTGTAATGGTAATTTATTCCCTCCCTGTGCAACATTTCCTGATATTCTGATATTCTTCTGGTTATCCTTGTGATCCTAAGGAAGCTGCCTTCATCCTTTATAATGATTACATTCCATTATTTGTTCACAATGGGCTTGGGATCTAAACTGACCCTATCAGACCTTTATAGAGAATGCTCTTTCTTCTGGGATTGAATAGAGATGTAGTAGCCCCTGGAACTATCAGGAACTTCCTCATAACCAGGAGAAGAACCAATCTCTGGACAGTTTTTATAAAAACCCAAACCCATCTGATATTAATGAGCCCTTGAATCAAAAACATCACTTTTTTGGCTATTAAAAATGATATTAATGGCTTGGCGCCAACCACATACACCTATGGTGGCAGGTTCGAATCCAGCCCAGGCCCGCCAAACAACGATGGCTGCAACCAAAAAATAGCCGGGTGTTGTGGTGGGCACCTGTGGTCCCAGCTACTTGGGAGGCTGAGGTGGGAGACTCGCTTGAGCCCAGGAGTTGGAGGTTACTGTGAGCTGTGATGCCACAGTACTCTACCAAGAGCAATAAAGTGAGACTCTGTCTCTAAAAAAAAAAAAGTTGAAAAACTTGGGTGGTGCCTGGCACCTGTGGCTCAAAGGAGTAGGGTGTCGGCCCCATATACTGGAGGTGGCGACCCCACCCTGGCCAAAAAAAGAAAAAAAAATCTAAAACCTTGAAAAACTTAGCTGGAGTTGGTTGCTACTTATGATGCTGAGGCAGGAGGATTAGTTGAGCCCAGTAGTCTGAGGTTGCAGAGCTATGACCCAGTCACTGCACTACAGTCTGGGTAAAAAAAGCAAACCCTCTTTTTTTTTTTTTTTAGACAGAGTCTTACTCTGTCACCCTGGGTAGAGTGCCATAACATCATCATAGCTTACAGCAACCTCAAACACCTGGGCTCACGAGATTCTCTTGCCTCAGCCTTCCGAGCAGCTGGGACTACAGGCACCTGCCACAACTCTCGGCTAGTTTTCTATTTTTAGTAGAGATGGGGGGTCTCACTTTTGCTCAGGTGATCTACCCGCCTCTGCCTCCCAGAGTGCTAGGATTACAGGTGTGAGCCACTGCACCTGTCTCTTGTTTTACAGCAAACATTGCCTAACAAGACACTGTCATATCTTAAAAAAATTAACATTAAATAAAATAAAACATTCAGTTCCTTAGTTACAATTACCATATTTCACATACTCATATGTGGTTATGCCTATCCTTTTGAACAATGAAGATATAGGATATTTTTATCACACAGTTTGATTGGATAGTGCTGCTGTATTTATTTATTACCATGTTTCCTTCTTTGCATTTATTTACATAATGTCTGATATGAAAAAGTAAACTGTCTGAAAACAGGGAATTGTGTCTGTTCTGTTCACTGCAGCATCCACTGGATCTAGATAGTGCCTTGCACATAATGTGGCTTCAATAAATATTTGTGAAATAACTGAATGTCTCCCCCATTAGAATGTGTGCTCCATGAGGAAGGAAAGCTTCCTTGAATTGTTCACCACAGTATCCTCAGTACTGAGCACAGGATTATTCTTCCCTGTTGTCTTTAAGGCCCTTCCTACTTTGGACTATGCTTACTTTGTAATCCATCCCCTTTCTCCTCAATAGTATGGGGATATTTGAGTTCTTGTAGTTCACCAAGTTCACTCTCCTCTCCAGACTTTTGTATATGCAGTTCTTTAATCTGCTAACACCTACTCATCCCAAGCATGAGGCCGGCATTATTAATTAGTTGTGTGTGTTGAGTCTCCCAGATGGCAACTTGAAATGTCATTGTCAGTTATATCAAATATTATGCCATTGCCAATTATACCAAATTGGTATAATTTTTCTTTCTTTATTTTCTAGCTTGAATTTTTTAAGAATTTTTACTTTCTGGCTCGGCGCCTATAGCTCAACCGGCTAAGGCGCCAGCCA